GAAATCTTATCAGAGATGATGAAGAATAAAACTATAAATGTGAAACGATGTTTGTAACAGGAAGTGCGCAGCCAAAGACCGATGTGTATTTAGAACTTGCACTTCCTTGCATTTCTTGATTTACCTTTAAATGCTTCAAAACTATAGTCACGTTATCTTCTAAGACGTTTTCAGGTTTGGGGTCCAATGTGCTGGATATCAAGGGACTGATGATTTTATGTGTGATGTTGTCTTTTTCCCTAGGAAACGTTTTAGGATATTTCAGTAAAAATATGATTGTTGCAGCTAGGATTCATGATTAAAACATATATGTAGTTGTCTCTAGCTTAGTTTTTTATTCAGACGTTTCGATCTGCTCTCAGATCTTCTTCAGTGCAAAAAATGGATTCCATTACAATTGTTTGCGCGCGTATATAGCTAGTTTTAGGATATGTCTTTGTCTAAACAAACAACTTAAGCATAAAAACTTAAAACCCCACAAGAAGACCTCACTGAAATCGTTGAAAAAATAAGACACACCAAAAGGAACAGTAAAACACACATACGTCGAAGATAACGATACACATTTGCACATACATTAGAGTGCTTACACTATGTCCATGAAATAAAATCTAAATAGTTACTATCTAATAGTTCTTGTTTATTGACTATTATTGCTATCACTCAACTGGAACAGTTAAATGAGGTATTGTTTCCTTTGTATTCGATTTCCCAAGTGTACAGAATGTGTTGTTACCAAGACTGTTCCAGTTGAATGATAGTCACTAATAGTGTAAGCACTCTAACCTAAACGAAAGAAAATAAACAATCAAAAAATATAATAAAAACAACAAAACATTCAGTTACAATGAAAAAGCAAAACCTTTTTTTCACAAAACTTACGTTACATCGAGGATGTTATCAGTCATTTCTGAGAAAAGCGCATTGACCATATAACGATCTTAGAGACAATAGTAGTTCATTAGACTTGATGGACAATGGCATGATCATTATCATTGGCATAGCATTTAATCAAATTACTATAATTAACATGATTTCCATCATGACTACCAGTGAAGGTGATTGTTATTGCTTTAGATCATACACCTAATTAAAAACGTCGACAACAACAACAACAACAATTTTATTAATGATTTCACAATACAAAATTACAAAAATCCTTTGCCCTCTTCAGGTGTCCCAGGTGCCCCAAACTTTATTTAGTGGAGGAAGGCGCCCCAAACTTTATTTAGTGGAGGAAGGTGCCCCAAACTTTATTTAGTGGAGGAAGGTGCCCCAAACTTTATTTAGTGGAGGAAGGTGCCCCAAACTTTATTTAGTGGAGGAAGGCATTTATTTAGCGCAGAGAACTATCATTATCATAGATTATGATAATAGCTTTTAAAAATATTGAAAAATTTTATTCGAGTATAACATACCTGTTGCATCAAATAGCGAGTCGGGCAGATTAATCGTAGTTGACATGTCGCTTTGTTTACTATCAGATGGAAATACGATTCTCATTTTACTGGTAACTCTTTGCATCTCAAAAACTGCAAAATTGAACAAAGGAATAATGAAATAAATAGATAATACACTACTGTTAGGGCTTCCTTTCCCTCCCAAAAGCCCAACAAATGGGGAGGCTGCGATGGAGACTAAAGAAAGAGAGGCATTACAAAACAACAACGATTAAGAACAATAGACATTGTTTAACGTATTCACTCGATTCTTTCTTTCTTTCTTTTTTTTTATTGCACTCGATCACAAGCTTCGTGCCAAAATAAATAAAATAGACAATGTGATTACAAATAAGGAAAACAAGGACCGTTTGAACACACAATCAGTTTTGTAAACCCGGACACTATAGCTATTATAGGAATCCAGCTTGTATAAATGACACTTGACTTGATGGCAGTGCATCTATAGTTCATTTTTTAGGGTACACATCCACTACTTACCCAGCCCCACTATCTTCTTAGCTATCTTCTTTAGTTTTTTCAAATGACGTCTTGCGTACTTTATGCCAAATTCTTCCATTGCTTCAGCTATTTTCATAACATTGGCTTTTACTCCTTTATTCCTCTTAAGAAGATCGAACATCGAATTTAAATTCGTATTGAAAAATTCCTGTTTTGCGAAGAAAAAAAAAATTGCAGTTGAAGGTGCTAGTTATTTAGATTCTAGACAAAAAACCAAGCAGAAAATACCTCCAGTATGCTTGAATTTTCGAATTTCATTGCTCTGACTATATTAAGCAACTTTTCAATCTATAAAGAGAAAATTCACATGAAAAAATCTGAAATCATAAACCTTTACCCCATTGAGATATTTAGTCCTCTTTTTTAAAAATTCTCGATGAAATTGCATAAAAGCTAGCACAACTCCATGCACTTTTCGTGCTTCTCTTTACAATGGAATGACATGTCCGTCACTATCTTTATTGCAAGCTTTAATCAAAAGACAAGATAAATTATATTTATAATTCTCTTATAAGTAAGATACTTCAATAAATTGTGTGAGGAGTAGCGGGATGTATTCAATAAATAAACAATACATATTTAAAAAATAATAATTCAACTTTTAAAACAAGATATGCATCGTTAATAAAAAAAACTGTAATAATAATAATGAAAGTAAATAGTTGAAGTTATAGATTCTTGAAGACAAGTCACAATTATTAACCGAAATCGCAGTTTTATCAAGTCGTAGTTTATATAGTTTCTTTTTTTCGAAAATACGAACTGAGTGTAAGTGATTATACCACAGTTAACGCTTTGTTGTATACTGATCTGGTTTGCATTTCTGCACGATCTATATAATGTCATTTATCTTTTCTTTCTTTCTTTCTCCTTTTCTCTCTATTCTCCCTTTCTTTATTTCTTTCTTTCTTTTATGTTTCTAACACTTTATCTCTTAAACCATCATAACAAACACTTATCTACTCAGTCTACTCTTGAACACATACATTGAAATTATTTGAGGCATATTATATTCAGAGAAATTACAAGAAAAAAATTATTTACCTTTTCATTCAATGACATCTTTGGTCTAGCTGAAGCCGTTGACTTAGTGATCGCACTTCTTTGCTTTGTGGTTGGATTTATTGATGTCGAAATTCCACTATTCGTTGTTGTCGTGGTTGTTTTAAGTGTTAATATTTTTTGTGTTGATGTAGTTGCAGTTGTGCTATATGCTGGAGCAGCTGTTGTCATTTCAGTGGTTTCTGTTGATTTTGTTGTTTCAGATATAGACGTGTATGTTGTACGTTTTGTTGTTGTTAGTGGTGCTGTTGTACTTTCAGTGCTCTTTGTTGCTGATGGGATACCTTCAGTGTTATATGTTGTTGTGATATGGAAAAATGAACTAATTAGTGTACACCTATGTCAAAAAACGTTTTTAGGGAGAACGGCAAGCGGGGATTGTCGGTACAGAGATTTGAATGACCGACAGGGACTATGGTTACACTGTGTGGTCGATATACGGTTCACCTTATCATTTCCCTTCAATTAACCAAACCCATGGCTCCTTTCGGTGTAATCTCCATTTGGAATCGCCATTCGCCATTTTGTTGCATAAACCTTTCATGAAATGGGTATAAATATAGCAACTTGAAAAAGGTTGTTAGAGCGGAACGACTATTCAAAGAACTATATCAAAAGTGAATGATCAGTCCCCACTATGCTCGATACGATGCCAATGATGACAAATGAGTGCCAGCGGTCTTGATGTTAGAGCATGCGAACTAAGAGGCAGGGGGTAATCCCACAATAAAAGATAAAGTTCATGGCCCGGTTGTTTTAAATCCTTCAGTCTCAACCGAGACTCCATTTTCCATAGTCTATAGTCTATCCACAAAGCTTGTGTAACAATTCACTTATTAAATAATACCAGGCAAAGGTCTACTTACCATTAGCAGCAGTCGGACAGATATAACTTAATGTTTTGGAACACGACATTGGTTTTAGTTTGTCGTTATTTGTGATTGCCAGGCAATAGGGTTCCTCCACAATTACATTTGAATGATCAATGATTTCAATCAGTGCTTGCTTTTGATTGTGTGTGATTGTGTTTATATCCCATAAATGTTTAAACTCATAAAACCGCCACCTGTGCTGCCCTGCCGATTCTTTCATGTACTTAATGCCAACCCAGTACTCTGTGTGGTTTTCCGCAGAATCAGTATATAGTATTTTACGCAGCCGTTCCAAAGTTTCCTGGCCAAATACTTTTTGTCCTGATACAGTCCAAATTGCTTTAGGAACGTATTTGCATTCTCTTTCAATAAATGTGTATGAAACAGACTGGTTAGGACAGAAGTGGTTAGCAGGACCTGAGGATTCATAGAGGTTATTATCAGTGTATTATATTATATAATTATGAAAATATATATAATATCAAAGAGGCAAGATTTTGCTGTTACTCCGAGTTGTCTGAAAAGGTAAACTAAATGTACAAATTGTTGCCTAACACCAAACAATGCCACAAAGATGTCTACTTACCATTTACAATAGTCTGACAGATGTATGATAACCGTGTACAACACGGCATCAGTATTAGCTTAGGTTGTCTTGAAATTGCAAGACAATAACGGTTATTGTCATTACACGCAACAGAGAAATTAACAGATTTCATCAGTAGGTCCTTAGGGTCTTTCCAAGAAAGTTCTTCATCCCATATAGTACATATTTGTTTCTTTTTACGGCACCTATTCCCCATCCAGTATTTTTCTGTGTTGTTTTCGCGTGGATGTGAGTAGAGCTTTTTGTGCAATTCCATGAAAGTTTCATTGTTTATTACGTGGCCAAGGAATCCACCATAATATTCAGTACAGATATCTTTTGATTTTTTCCATTTTCTTTTTGGAAAGGCTTTGTTATCAACAATGGTGTATAAAACAGACTGCTCAGAGCAGAAATCACCTGAAATTTTTTCGTATAAATTTTTATTAGTAATTACATTGAGAATTGATTTAATCTTTCTCCAAAATGGGCGCCGATCATTTAACCTTTGACAAAATGATATTTCTGTTAGATTCTCAAAAAAACCCTGTAACTTTAAAACCTTTTTAAATGGAAAACCGTATGTATTTTTCAAGTCTTATTTTATACTAGGCTATTGGGTGTTTTATTTGTCCTCATCTTTACTGGTCAGTTAACAATTTTGCTACTAGATAAATTGTTTGTATTTATCAGAATTTATATTTCGTCAGTAATTAAACATGGTTTTGGATTTTCGCTATTTACCTCCATCTCTAGTCTCGAGTGCTGGCAATGGATTAAAGAATCATAACCACCCATCGTACCTTGCGCGCTCGTATTATTGTTTACATACGTTTAAATGCGTCAAGCATACAATAAATTATAGATTGATAGTACATGTGAGGTACTTAGTTGAAGGTATTTCTGTCCAAACTGAAAGGACGGAAGACGATTTGCGCTCACTTTAAGAAAATCCTACAAATCCGCCATTTTTGTGTCCACCTAAAATGGCGCTTCGGCTCGCAAGGTACGGCGGGTGGTTATGATTCTTTAATATAAACTGACCAGCAAAGCTCGTCCAATGCAGCTCATATACGTCATCTTAGTTTAAAAGGCATTAAAAAATAAATGCAGATTTTAATTAATCTTTATCACGGCTTTTTATTAGAATTCATTAGAATTGTACACAGCTTCTAAGTGAAGCGTAATATGTTGTATTTAGGGATCACTTTGGCTTAGGTAAAAATTAAATAAACAAAATAAAAAAGAAGTAGTGGAATTTAGAAAAAAGGGATTTTACGACATAATTTGCTTTCAAATGTAATTATATGATAAACAGAATATTACATGGTCACTTGGAGATACGAATTTTATCTTGTCGTGTTGAAAATCTCTTTTCAACACTCGAAGATAAAATCTGTATGTCCGTGCGCCCATGTAATATCCTCTATTAATGGTATCATTGAAAATTTTATATTTACTTACCATCATCGACAGTCGGACAGATATAACTCAATGGTGTGGAACACGGCATCGGTTTTAGTTTTTCATCATTTTTTGTGATTGCAAGGCAATAAGTAACATTCGGCACAGTTACATTTGAAAGATCCACAATTCCAGTCATTTCTTTGGAGAATGGGACTACTTTTCCGCCATGTGTTTTAAATATAAATCCTACCCTAGTATTGATACCAACCCAGTATTTGATTTTGCAAGAAATTGAGAAAAGTCTTTGACGCAGTTGCATGATGGTTTCATTGTTCAATATGAGTGAGCCTAGTTTCTCATCATAATATTCAGTGCAGATTTCATCTAAGGAGGTGTTGTGGTGCATTGCTTGGTGATCAACAATCTTAAATGTAACAGGCTGGTTATGGCAGGAAGAACTATAACCTGCAGAGTATTAATATAAGTTGTTATTAGAGGTTCTGTTATGAGCACTGATTCAAAGGATTTAGGGTAACCATATTTAGTATTATTGCAGTAGTTGTTTTCCTGTTGGTTGTCATTATTGTTTTGTGTTGTAATGGTTTTGGTGTTACATGTGAAGACGGTTTGTTACAGTAATGTTGCTGTTAGAGTACAAACATTCAATGTCTGCAACACTTTCCACTATTTACTACAAAATAGTGTTAATTAAACAATAGAAAACAATAGAATTAGCATGATTTAGCAGTATTTAGTGGTATTTATGTTGCACAGTTTTAGTGTTTGTACTCTATACATGTATTCTGTCCAAGGTTATTGCCATTGCAATTGCCCTATTTCATTATGACGTCACAGTATGTTTAAATCGGAAAACGATGCTCGAAAACAGTGGAAATTTGGACCCATTTATATTGTCTAATAAAGTAGAACCTCAATGAATCGCGTTTTGATATATATCATGGATAAATGATTATTCATGTACATTTGATTTGATATGCAGTCACTCTGATCCCTTCTGGCGACCATAATCCTTAGCGTTCAAACAATAGAATGTTTTGGTGTGACGTCATAATGAACTAGGGCCATTGCTTTCTTTGGTTAGTGTTCTTCGAGTTGTTGTAATAACGGCATTGTTTGATGAATGGTAGTCCAAGACAGAGGTCGTGAAATTAGGATAAGAAATTAATAATGTGGAGTTTAAATTGATTCAGACTCCGTTTCTTCTGTTGTAAGGAAAGATATCTACCTACCGTTTGAAGGGGTGTGACAGATAAATCGTAACAGTTTGAAGCACGACATCAGTTTTATATTGCCTTCTTTTGTAATTGCAGAACAATTATATTGATCTTCGGCATGCAACATGTCATTACTAACCCAGTAACTTTCTTTTTCGTTTCCACTGCGATTACTGTAAAGCTCTTCTTGCAGTTTTTTTAAAGTTTCCTTGTTACTTACTCGGACAAGATGTCCATTATAATATTTACGACACATTTGGCTTGATATTGACCATGTCTTCTTTGGTAAGGCTTTTGGATTAAGGATTTTGTATGAAACAGACTTAGAGCAAGAAAGATCAGGACCTGCGGATTAAAGCATGATGAATGATTAAAGTTTTTGCTTCAATTATCATAGACCTTTTTCTGAAATACAAAATTATGGCGCATTGTGGTCTCAGTACCTGCAACAACACCATATTTTGTAAATGAACTGAATCTAGACCACAAAGCAATGAAAACTACTACTTCAGGAAAGGCCTATTAAAATGGGAATTAAAAAGTCAATTAGCTATTAGACCAATCGGGGTATTCTTATTCGGTTACATGACCTTTATACCGCATAAATGATCACTTTTCATGATGCGTTGATGAGTCTTCACACATTTTTTTCGTGTCGGGATCCGATTTTGACCACTATAGTTTTTTGTCAATTAAATCTTTAGATCAGCTTGAGCTTACAGAACTGAATGAAAGTTAAATGTTATTAGAGGCGTAGAATTGGGAATACTAAATTGCGAATTCTTTGAACTAGAAGATTTTAAAACGCTTGGACTTTAAAACTTCAAACTAGGATATTATCTACTACATACTAATAGCACAAAGCCGTTATCATCATCTTGATCGACAAAACATTTAGACCATTTTGTACATAATTAGGAATCTATTAAAAGATATATTGCAAGTATTTTTCTCGCGCTTGGGAGTGTTTAAGAACTATATACCTGATTGATGTGTGCCTTGGACTGTATTTAAAGCAGATAGTGTTGCAAAAATGAACCAAAATAAAAGGAAATATGGATAAGTCATAGCGATGACGGTCATTGTCTCTTGGACCTTTTCTGCAATACTTGAAGCAGCAGTCGCGAGTATAATGTCTGCATTTGCGACGTAATTGGGCATATGATGACGAGTGCGGATTCTTGGCTTTTTATTGGTCAAACCAACCTGTGCCGTCAGATTTGCGAGTAATTTGACAGTGTAGTACATTGAAAGACTTACTTCCTTAATATGCAAATTCTACACGCATTTGAACCTGTGT